AGCAACCTGGCAGAAAGATCATTCTTTCTGCTCAGCTCGCCCAAATCAACAAATTAACTTGATATTAGCCAGTAGCTACAGTGTTGCCTTACCCAACAGGCTGCTTCTCTGTCTGCGATAACTTCCTCGGTACAAGAGTAAAAACACTCCAATCCTTCATTCCACCACCTGCTGCACTCGTTTTGATACCGAGATCTCGATCCCTCTTCTTCATGATGAGTCTTTTGGCACTCCCGTCGCGGTTGTCGGAAAATGCCTCGTAAAAGGATTAAGAGAAGAATTAGGACTTCGGTTCAGAAACTGAAACCTTTAACTAAAGTTGATGCTTACATCCAAAACAAGGTGCCTGGGCTGGGATCTCCTAAATTTAAGGAATGGTTACTAAGCAAACCAATGTAAGAGCATGCAACACCGGGGTACCCCAAAACTCGCGCATTTTGGGTTGTGCAAATCACAACCCAATAGCGGTGACCTAAACATGAATCGCATCGCAAATGACGTCATTTTTTGCAGATGTGATTTGCGCAACCCTTGCATGCTGCGCAAATCTGGTCATGCTGCGCAAATCTGGTGACTTTGCGCTGGACCCAAAGCCAACCCAAACAGCAAATCCCATAAATAAACCGACAGATCCGATGAAAATCCAATGAGAAGAGGTGCGATCTTGGGGTTTCGGAAGATATCGTCGCAAGAATTGCACAGCACGCAAAATTGAAGGCTACCGCTCGCAAATCACTTCTCACTGCAAGTCAAGTGGAGGTGCTCATTTTGCATGATTTTCTGGCTCTTTCATAGTTAATTCATAGCTCGACAGCATACTTTGGGTGGTGAATTGTTTGGTTCAATTTTTTGCAGTAGCCACCGTTTTCAAAAATCGAGACTCGACTCTGCTGCTAAAAAACGATAGTTAAAGACGAAATATGAAGATCTGACAATGGCGCTATATCGTTAACCTATCAACTCGACTATGTTCGTTCCAACGATGTCATTGTTATAGTAGTAGCTGCTTGTCATGGTCGTCGTTTACTTGTTATCCAGCAGCAGCTGTCAATTGTTTTGTTTCTCGCGATAATTGGCTGGCGATAGGGCTTGAGTTAAAATGAGTTTTGGGTTTTAGGGTATTGGTTGCTTTTTACCCAAACCAAACCCAAAACCAAATGATGTCAGCGAGTAGAATGTGGGTCCCACGTGGCACTCGTGGATCCCACGTGGCACTCAATTGAGTCTTTCCAAGACTGTATGTATGGGTTTTGGGGTACCCTGGTATTGCATGCTCTAAGGGTTTGTTAAAGTTCTATTGCCTCGGAGAACACTGAGACTACCGTTGAGAAGTGACATCCAATCTCCGGACAACAAAGCTCCGTTCAATCACAGACGAGAGCCCTCACCCAACAATCACTCTTAAAATATTTTAAGGTCGGTCCCTTTATAACTGAATCCCTACTAATATCTGAAGTTCGAAGTTCAAAGCATGTCGAGGACCATGACGAAACAACCTGTAGCTTTTGGAGGAGCAAACTACTGGTGTTGACACTGCTAGCTACTGGACCGTCCGACGGTTTCTGCTCAGGTTTAAAAACTGCTCAAATCGTGGTTCTCGTTAAGGGAATGTTAAGGGAATGTTGAAGCTTTAAGGGAATGTTAAAAGGGAATGTTGAGGCTTTAAGGGAATGTTTTAAGGGAATGTTTAGTTAAGGGAATGTTCATTTTTTTTAAGGGAATGTTCTATGGGGTTTACATGAAGGCTTAGAGGAATGTTTCGAAGCCTTAAGGGAATGTTGTTAGGGGAATGTTGATTTAAGGGAATGTTAAGGGAATGTTGAGGATTTAAGGGAATGTTTTAAGGGAATATTTAAGGGAATGTTTCCACTGCGAAATTTTAAGTTTTTTAAAAACCTGAGAGAAAACCGTTGGACAGTCCTGGACCTCTGTGGAAACGTCATTCGTGGAAACATACTTAAGAGATGATACACCAAGGCATAGGAGACGATCAAAATGATTTAGGAGACGAAAGCAATCGTCTCCTATATTTAGGAGACGATTCAGCAGGAGACATTCCAATTAAGAGACGATCGTTTCGAAATAGGAGACGATCCGAAAGATTTAGGAGACGATACCATACTGTTTACATGGTACACTTAGGAGACGATCCGTTGAGAATAGGAGACGATCCGTTGAAAATAGGAGACGATTTAAGAGGAGACGAACGATTTAAGAGACGATCCGTTTCGTCTCCTATTTTTAGGAGACGAAATCCATTAAATAGGAGACGGAAAAAAGGATTTAGGAGACGATTGATAGCACGACTCGAGTTTCCACAGAGGTCCTGGACCTCTGTGGACGTCTCCTATTTTCAACGGATCGTCTCCTATTCTCAACGGATCGTCTCCTAAGTGTACCATGTAAAGTGTATGGTATCGTCTCCTAAATCTTTCGGATCATCTCCTATTTCGAAATTTTCGTCTCTTAATTGGAATGTCTCCTACTGAATCGTCTCCTAAATATAGGAGACGATTGATTTCGTCTCTTAAATCATTTCGATCGTCTCCTATTCCTCGGTGTATCGTCTCTTAAGTATTTTGCCACGAATGACGTTTCCACAGAGGTCCAGTAGAAAGAGCATGGTCCTGATAAGCTGTACGACACTTAAATCACCCAGACGTGGGTTGACAATTCCTCGTATTCCAAAAAGAGGAAAATTAACAAGAGAGAATTCTTTAGAAATTCAAAATACTGTAAGAATTGTTCCAAGAACTTTTCTGAGTGTACGCGCCATTTTTTGCATGCCGGCCGGCGTAGGGGATCGGAAGTGAAGAGGAGGTGAGGAAACAGTATTACCCTCACCTCCGAGTTCCGATTCCCTCTCCTATCCTCGGAACTCGATTTCCGATCCCCCCTGCCGATCCCCTCATAATTTTGAAGAGAGGGTCTTAAAAATCATGCCCAGTAAGGTTAAAGCAAGGTTTTGGTCTTGGACTCTGAACAACTATGGAGAAACAGAATTACAAGCCCTGCGCACGAAGTTATCCCAGAAGGAAGAAGTTCGCTACTCCATCTTTGCTAAAGAAGTCGGCGAAAGCGGCACACCCCAGCCACCTGCAAGGCTTCACGGTTTTCATCGGACAAAAGTCTCTCACCGGAGTTAAGAAAGTGGTTGGAAACAGAGCCTATGTTGAGGTATCTAAAGGTAATGAGCAACAAAACTACGACTACAGCATCAAAGATGGTGATTACGAGGAATTTGGCTCCAGAGACAGGAAGAGAGGAAAACACAGGGATATAGAAGAATTCAAGAAGGCAGTTGAAGGAGGAGAACGAGATATAAAGAGGCTAAGGTTACACCATTCAGAAGTCTGCGCAAAGTACCCTCGTTTCGTAAATGAATTTATTCGTGACATTATTCCAGAACCTCAAATCAAAGCGCATCCCCTTTATCCCTGGCAGCAACAATTGTATGCCGTACTCAAAGGGCCTGCAGACGACAGAACTATCCATTTCATAGTAGACACCAAAGGCAACAAAGGAAAGAGTTGGTTCGCAAAATATTACTGCAGTCAGTATCCCGACAAAACTCATATCCTGCGACCCACCAAACATGCGGACATGGCCTACGCTCTTCCCTATGAACTCAAAGTCATCTTTATAGATTGTACCAGAAAACAAGTTGAGTACATGCCATACACTTTCATGGAAGAATTGAAACATGGCCTTGTGTTCAACAGCAAATATGAAAGCTGCGTGAAGAAATACACGAACCTTCATGTAGTGGTACTCATGAATCAATTTCCTGACATGGAAGCACTCAGTGAGGACAGATACAACATTATTGAATTATAGATTAAAACCCTACATTGTAGTAACTCGTATTCTCCATTCTCTCGTTCTCCTTGAACGTACCGGTATCACACAAAGACTGAGTTGGTTGGTTGGATTGTGAATGGGGCCACTTTGTTGGGGGCTCACCTTGCTCGATATAACTGCTGTTTGTGCAATACACGGCTCTTAGCCTTATTCGCGACTCGATCCTAGATAGGGTTTGAGTTCGACTCATGACTGAGTCTCTCGTGAATAGTCATCTGAGACAG